CCTCCCCTCTCCTCCTCCCTTCCCTCCTCCTCCTCCTTCTCCTCCTCCCCTTCCCCCTCCTTTTCCTCCTCCCCCCCCCTCCCCTTTTTCCTCCCCTTTACCTCCTCCTCCTCTCCTCCTCCTCCTTCTCCTCCTCCTCCTCTTCTCCCCCCTCCCCTCCCCCTCCCCCCAACAACAGCATCATCATCATCATTATCATCGTATCATCATCAACATCAACATCATCATCACCTCATCCTCATCTCATCATCATCATCAACATCATCAACATCAAATCAAACATCAACATCAACATCAACATCAACATCAACATCAACATCAACATCAACATATCATCATCAATCATCATCACATCATCATCATCATCATCATCATCATCATCATCACCACCACCACCACCACCACCTACCACCACACACCACCACCACCACCACCACCACCACACACCACCACACCACCACCACCACCACCACCACCACCACCACCAAACAACAACAACAACAACAACAACAACAACTCCACCAACTCTCCCTCCTCCTCCTCCCTCCTCCTCCTCTCCCCCTCCTCCCCTCCCCTCCTCCTCCTCCTCCTCCTCCCTCCTCCACCATTCATCTAATCTTCTTTCCACATTTTTTTCGCGACTGGAATGAGTCGATGGAAGTGACGCAGAAAATGGTGTCAAGAGAGAAACTGCGTGTGGGACGAGTCTCACCAGGTAAAGAGGGATGGCGTGTGTGTGTTGTGTGTGTGTTGTGTGTGTGTGTGTGTGTGTGTGTGCGTGTGTGTGTGTGTGTGTTGTGTGTGTGTGTGTGTGTGTGTGTGTGTGTGTGTGTGTGTGTGTGTGTGTGTGTGTGTGTGTGTGTGGGCGTCATTCTCTTTCTCTCTTCTCTCTCTCTCGCTCTTTCTTTCTTTCTCTCTCTCTCTCTCTCATCTCTCTTCTCTCTCTCTCTCTCCTCTCTCTCTCTCTCTCTCTCTCTCTCTCTCTCTCTCTCTCTCTCTCTCTCTCTCTCTCTCTCTCTCTCCTCTCTCCCTCTCCTCTCTCCTCTCTCTTCCCTCTCCCCTCCCCCCAATCCCCCACCCCACCCGTCTGTCGGTTCTTTACTCTTCGCTTTTTCCTCTCATATGAATCTGATCTCTTTCTTTTTTTTTTCTCTCTCTCTCTTTTGATCATTATTATTTTTTTCTTTCTTTAACGAGTTCAGGTTTATCGGAACTCTGAATTCTAGGGATAGAAGGTGGATTTGCATATTGCAGTGCTGTTCCTTCCCTCCTGGCGGTTCGGCGGTATTGTACACAGATTGCAAAAAAAAAAAAATGATGATGAGAGGGATATATACATAATGGGCGGGTCTGTGTCTATCTGTCTGTTTATCTGTCTGTCTGTCTGTCTCTGTGTCTGTGTCTGTGTCTGTGTCTGTGTCTGTGTCTGTGTTTGTGTCTGTGTCTGTGTCTGTGTCTGTCTCTGTCTCTCTCTCTCTCTCTCTCTCTGTCTCTCTCTCTTCTCTCTCTCTCTCTCTCTCTCTCTCTCTCTCTCTCTCTCTCTCTCTCTCTTCTCTCTCTCTCTCTCTCTCTCTCTCTCTCTCTCTCTCTCTCTCTATTTCTGTCTAGCTAGCAGTCTGTCTATCAATCTATCTGCCAATCAATCTGTCTGGCTATCATTCTATCTATATATGTATCTATCTTTATCTATTTATATCTATCTATCTATTTATTTAACTATCTATCTCACCGTGTATGTATGTGCTCGCATGGGTGTATGCGTATTCTTATGAATGTATGTGTATATGACTACATATAGGCGAGTGTGTACATGTGTATTGTACGTGTGTGTACGTGTGTGTGTACGTGTGTATTATACGTGTGTGTGCATACGTGTTTGTGTACGTGTGTGTGTACGTGTGTGTGCACGTGTGTGTACGTATGTATGTACGTGTGTGTACGTGTGTGTGTACGTGTGTGTGTATACGTGTTTGTGTACGTGTGTGTGTACATGTGTGTGTGTGTACGTGTGTGCGTACGTGTGTGTGTACGTGTATGTGTACGTGTGTGTGTGTACGTGTTCGCCCAGCCGATGAAATGAACACGATTGATCATGCAGAAGTTGCATCGGATTTCACATTGCAATATTCCGTTTCGGTTTTGCAATTTTTTAAAGATGATTTCAGGGCAAGGCTTAATATGCAAATAGGAGGAATAGTGGAGAACAACAAATGCAAGATCATAACATATTTAAATAAGAAACATGAAAAGGGAATTTTACACGTAATGTGCACATGCTGAAGGGAATGCAAGCTGGTAGAGGGAGAAAGAAAAAGAGAGAAAGATAGATTTATAGATAGATGAATAGATAGATAGAAAGATAGATTGACAGATCGATCGATCAATCGATAGATAGATAGATTGAGAAAAGAGGGAGAAAATGGAGAAACAGAAAGAGAAAGAAAGAGGAAGAGAGAGAATGAGAGAGAGAAAGAGAAAGAAAGAAGGAAGGAAAGAAAAA